CATTTCCTATTATAAATTGCAGTTTTAAAATTAGTTTTTGCATTAAATATAACATTTCAATTTTTTTTTCTTGAACAAATCTAATCATTATTTTTCATGAGAGTAAAACTAATTATTATTTTTTATGAGAGTAGTTTTGAATTCAAACTATCAAGATGTAAGTTTTTTCATAAGAACAAAATATCAAGTATTTATGAAGTAAAGTATTATTTTGTAACTATTTTTGAGTTTATTTTAAAAACAAATTACTTAATACACTCAGTCTTCAACATTTTTTTTTTCAGGAACAATAAGGACGTTGATATTCATGATACACAATAAGGACATTGATATTCATGAAATACAACAAGAACATTGATAGTCGTGATACACAACAAGAACATTGATAGTCATAAAACACAATAAGGATGTTGATAGTCATGATACACAATAAGAACATTGATAGTCATAAAACACAATAAGGATGTTGATAGTCATGATACACAATAAGAACATTGATAGTCATAAAACACAATAAGGATGTTGATAGTCATAAAACACAATAAGGATGTTGATAGTCATGATATAGTCATCAGTGTTTTAACCTACCAGTAGTCTACGTAACTCTAGTATCGTGTTTTAATTTTAGATCAAAACAGTTTTTGTTTGTTTTCAGGAAATTCCGCGGTTCAGTAACATTTGTCATGAACCATCACGAACAACAACCGATAGGGCACGAACCAGACCAAGCTAGTGAACAGCAACTATAATCAACCTTTATTTAAGTCATTTACAAACCAGACTTCAGATAATTATCAATAACACATTCAGACTTCAGATAATTATCAATAACATATCATCTATTTCATTGGATTTTTTATTTCGTTTACCTTCGAATATATCAAAATAAAATTAATTACTTATTTATTCACAATGCACAAACTCTAGATTACTTCTTTCAAAGTCTTATTTTTCTAAGCTTTTAGTAAAAAAAAAATGAACGAGAAGCTATGAAACGAAAACAAAAGGTTTTAGAAAGACTTATAATGACACATCGTTAATGTTATTACAAGATTAATACTAGCCATATTTTTTCTCAACTGGACGACTGCCATCTACCGAGATAGTTCTGTACTAAACTTATCGTTCACGTAAATCTTCGAATTTTTTTTTTTTCAAGTAACAGACATAAATTGCAAAAATCATAAGATGTTCTCAAAGTTAAAATATCTAGAGCATGTTTATGTTTAAAAATTCATTCATGTTTCAATTATAAGACACATGTGGAATAGCATGCGTAATTCGCGAGGTTTGGCGCATATTCGACACAGTGAAGAAAAATACATTATCAATGGTTTAGAAATCTCCATCTGAGATTCATGATATATATTTATGTTCAAAATGGTAAAAAATGATAAAATCATTAAACACGTAGATTTCATGTGTACTAAAAAGTCGGTAAACACATTGAGACATTAAATAGAACTAACAGAATTGCTAAGGACATAGTGGTGTTAAACAGAGTTGCAAACATCTTATTGAAAATTTTTGCCGAGTTAAACAACTCGATGTCCTGTTTTTTTTTGTTTTTTTTACAGGTCACATGATATCAATTGTTTTAATACCTTAAGTAGTTTCATTGAAAGATTTACTTTAGTCTTCAATGGTCGTGAACAGTTAGTGAATTGAATGTTATTACCTTTTGTTTTTTATTTACTGTTTATTATTATATTGTTTAACATTGTTAGCTTAGAATTTGTAGGTAGGGCTAAACTAATTTTCTTTGTTTTGAATTTCGCGCAAAGCTACACGAGGGCTATCTGCGCTAGCCGTCCCTAATTTAGCAGTGTAAGACTAGACGGAAGGCAGCTAGTCATCACCACCCACCGCCAACTCTTGGGCTACTCTTTTACCAACGAATAGTGGGATTGACCGTCACATTATAACGCCTCCACGGCTGAAAGGGCGAGCATGTTTGGTGGGACGGGGAATCGAACCTGCGACCCTCATATTGCGAGTCGAGCGCCCTAACCACCTGGCCATGGCGGGCCATCTAATTTTCTTAGTCAGCCGAATCTCGTTAGATATTATTGGGATTACGGCCGAAAATATTGTTAACAGCAAGGGTGTCCAACTAATGAAACAATACATTCTGATCTTTATAGATAGAAACTTCAAAAAAGGCATATTTAATTAGCTAAAGTGATGGTCAAGTTGATTTTTAGGTTCGCTCTAAAAACATAACTTACTCTGATCGAAAATTACTATTATAAAATACAAAATACAGAAAACTTGAGGCTAGTTGTGTTTATTTCAGGTCTTTTTTGATAAACCAACTATTGAGAACAGACCAAAATTGATATATCTGCTTATTTTTGGTCAGACGTGCCTAATAGTTAGCTGTCAATCTGTGGATCGAAGGGTCCAAGGTTCGAGACGTTACGGCAAAGAAAATGTCCCGCACTTTCAATCATGGGCGCGTTGTAGAAATAATAATGTGAATCTCGTCATTCGGTTCAAAGATCAGAAGGAAACCATTGACGTGGCGGGTGTTACTGACTGGCTGCCCTCTGGTCAGTATTACAGCTATCTATATTTGAATTCTAGGTGTCTCTGACCTGGGTTTTTAGAAGCCTTTCATGTTGAAAATCCCATTTCTGTTTGTGTTCTTCTATAGACTTTCGTTAATAGTCTTGGTACTAATTATTCCAAAAACTTATCTATACTACATGTTGTTTTACTGATATTCAGAACAGAAACGTTTATTCTAGTAGTGTAAGCCAGTCGTGAATTGTTTAATATTCTGTCTTTTAGATCGACAAAGTGCTAGTTGTTCGAGAAGATGAGAAAGAACAGAAACGTTTGTTCTAGTAGTGTAAGCCAGTCGTGAATTGTTTAATATTCTGTCTTTTAGATCGACGAAGTGCTAGTTGTTTGAGAAGATGAGAAAGAACAGAAACGTTTGTTCTAGTAGTGTAAGCCAGTCGTGAATTGTTTAATATTCTGTCTTTTAGATCGACGAAGTGCTAGTTGTTTGAAAAGATGAGAAAGAACAGAAACGTTTATTCTAGTAGTGTAAGCCAGTCGTGAATTGTTTAATATTCTGTCTTTTAGACCAACGAAGTGCTAGTTGTTTGAGAAGATGAGAAAGAACAGAAACGTTTGTTCTAGTAGTGTAAGCCAGTCGTGAATTGTCTAATATTCTGTCTTTTAGACCAACGAAGTGCTAGTTGTTTGAGAAGATGAGAAAGAACAGAAACGTTTGTTCCAGTAGTGTAAGCCAGTCGTGAATTGTTTAATATTCTGTCTTTTAGACCAACGAAGTGCTAGTTGTTTGAGAAGATGAGAAAGAACAGAAACGTTTATTCTAGTAGTGTAAGCCAGTCGTGAATTGTCTAATATTCTGTCTTTTAGATCGACGAAGTGCTAGTTGTTTGAGAAGATGAGAAAGAACAGAAACGTTTATTCTAGTAGTGTAAGCCAGTCGTGAATTGTCTAATATTCAGAGATAAAAAAAAAGAAGACGAGTTAAGATCGACAGGCGGGGAGTATGGTGATCGAAACTTTGTAGTCCACGCCAGACGAATCTACAAACGTGCTTTAAACTTACATTGAAAATCCACTATATCAACAAACAATCTAAATGGCTGGACATTATTTCCTTTGGTAGTTTCTGGAACGAATAAATAATGAAGCTTCCAACTTCCCGCCAATTTCAGCGTGGGCCCAACTGCGCAGCACTTCATGTAGCGTGTGAACGAGCCGTTAAAACGCGTTTCATAACGGGAATACTTTGATCAGTGGAAACTGACTGCGCTGCCATCTAATGATGCTAAGTTGAACTATCGAAATAATCACTTGTTTGTTTAATAAGGTGAGACAGACAAACAAAGGTTGGATATGATCGAGGGTGTATTCCTACAATTATGGGGGCCCTCAAAGGGAGATACCTCTTCCACCACAGATGGTACTTTACTGTTTCTGCTCTGTGACTCGTTTTTATCTTATTTGTCTGTAACACGTGTGCTCCAAATGCTTTGTTTCGGCGGCTTGGCTGATATACTTACATTGTAGCATCGTTATAGATGTGTACAGGTGTGTATTATATAGCGCTTTATTTCCTTTTTATACAGAAATTTTCGAAAATGTTCTCTTGTGTAAGTTACTGAAAGGTTGTGGCGATCGAATATTAATCTTTGTCATGGCTACAAGATTATACGATCGCCGATGTTTCATTATTGATTAGTCATCATTTTTTTTCATTACTACACCAATATTTCACTATGTCAAAGGTTTATTTGTTTTTTTTTAGTAAACCACCGCTGGGAATCTAACCCTAGATTTTAACGTTGTAAGTCCGTACATTTTTCACTATCCAACGGGAGAACCCGTGTTAAAGGTATCTCCGAAAGAATATATCAAGTCAGAATAATAAGATACAATGACAATTAGCACACTCCAAACCAGCTAAAAACCTGATGGATATCAAAACCCCCATTCACATTATCCCTTGTGGACTCCGGTACAACGGAGAAACAAAACGTCCAGCACAAGACTCTGTAATAGCTCATCGTGCCAGAGAAGACCTTAAAATAAAACTGAATATAATATATATAGAAATCACACACGAGAAAAAGAAATGATCAGAATGATGCTGTGAGAGGTTTCTTTGTGCAGTAGAAAGTTTTGGAAGATTCTTTTCTCATGTGGAGTGTTTCGAAGGATTGTTTATACACTGAGAAAGCTAGAGGTTTTTTTTTTGTACAAAAGAACTTTCTGGAAGATTCTTTTCTCAGTGGAGTGGTTCTAATCCCGTCCACAACCACCACACAGAGAGCAGGCCTTCCCTGAAGACAACATTTGATTAGCAGTCAAAACATGGAGATATAAATTACTTAGTACCAATAACAAAAAATGTTGTTGTTTTTTTTAGGGCAAAGCTACATAAAGGACTCTTTGTCCATCGTGGGAAATTAAACCCAGGGAGACAAAAAAAATGTAAGTAATTAATAAACAGCCCATCATTATTAGAAACCTATTTTATTTTTCGACCTGTCCTTCTCCATGGTTACTGAAGAGGGTCGAAATCACTATCTTTGAAAATAAATGCTACATTCCATTAAAAAGTAGGTTTAAAAAATGAGATAACAAAGACACTGCGACGTTCCACGACCTAAATCAGGGTTGTGACCAATCACTCGTTCTTGTTCAAAGTACGTCTATAACTCTTGCATGAGAATATTTTCGTTCAGGGTTGTGACCAATCACTCGTTCTTGTTCAAAGTACGTCTATAACTCTTGCATGAGAATATTTTCGTAAGAGCTCGAATATACTTGCTCCAACCTAATTTACCAAAAAAAAATCATTTATAATCGTTTTCTAACATAATACACATCATTTTTGTCCTCCGGTTATAAATGAGATACTGAGTTTAGTTGTAAGCATGAGAACTTGAGAGTGAATGTAAAGAAGATGTTATAATATGTCAAACATACTATGTCTGCTCTATCCAATTAAGTTTTCACTGTGAAATAGATTAAGTTGACGAGTGTAATATACTTTAAATAGAAACGTGCTATATAAAATTTAATATTTTGCTAAGAAAAATAACTATAAATATATAAGTTATTTATATTCAATTCTACCGTATTATTTAATCTGATGTTTTTTCAATCCCCTTAACGACGGGTAAGTTTATCTGTATAATGAAGAAAGAGTTAAATTATGTAATTAAGTATTCAAGTTCCTGAGACGAGATCCGAATATCTTCAATCATATCTTCTCCCTCCCCCCTTTTGTACATATACCGTGCGAATATGTGTTGGTTGTAAAAAAAAAAAACGATCTCACACCCATTATTTGTATGTACTAAACACTATACACGAAGTTATGTTTTATCACTATTACTATAACTATGGTGTTATCTTTTACCCACCACTGTGATCTTATATTTGTGTGGGATTTGAAGAATACGTAGCTTTGATGCTACTAATATATTTGTTCCTAAAATATTCAGCAGAAAGGTTATTTAAAAATAATAAAAATAGATAAGATATGAAGCGTAATCTATCGTTCGATTCACCACTTGTAGCAGTCTGTCATCATTAGTTTATACCGACTTGCAGGGTTAGTGATGAAGGGTGGAATTCTTTAAACTCAGTGACAAGTTTGTTCGGTTGTTGTTAAGCCCAAAGCTACACAATGCGCTAGCTGTACTGTGCCCACCACGAGTATCGAAACTCGATTTTTAGAATTGTATGTCTTCAGACTTACTGCTCAGCCACTGGGGGCAGTGACAAGTGGTGAATTGACCGAGAGAATCTGCAGCTTCATATTTATTTTTATATATTGTGTATCTGACGATACTCATTTTACCGCTCATCTTTTACACAGGTTCAAAGATGGAGATCCAGTAAGAACTCTGCAGTTGATAATATATTTAACTAAAACTACTTTTTACTTTTATTTGATCTTTTGAGTAAATGTGTTGACATCGTGCCACCTACTGGGGTACAATAACATATTTGTAGTTGTATCATTTGTCACGATTCTTCATAATTAGAAGTTATTTATCTCACATGCTAGTTACAATTACAAAAAATTCAAATAAAAAATGTCTTGACTTCATCCATCATACTAAAATATTGTTAATATTATATCAAAGAATGTTAGTTTTGTAACGTACACTATCGTAACGTAAACATGTTTTTATTATAGATCACTATAGTTTAGTATTTTTTTGTAATAGAAAAATAATTCAACTGGGTGAAAACTATATAAAGTTGTTTATTACTTGTTTGTGACTTAAGTTACGCCTTAATGAGCTGTCTGTAGAATTTGAAGAGCATAAAAATACACTTGTGGTTGTATTAATTACCCTAGAGCACAGGTTAGCACAGTTTAAAAATAACTTTTAAGAATTTCTTTACAAAAGTAACATCCAAGACTTGTTTGACAATAGAGGTCGCCCTATACACCGAACCTCAAAGAAATACACTTCATTTACTCAAATCATCCAGGGGTCGTCTTATACACCGGCAAATACGATAAACAACAAGTGGCGCTTCTTACCCTAAACAATCTTGAACGTATTCTACCCATAAAAAAATTAATTAAATTATAACATATATGAATCGTAAGACCGGGGATTTCTTCCCGTTGTCGATCTTTTACTGTTATCATTAAGTTCATAAATGTTTGGTCACAGTTTTAGCAACCATCTTTAGGTTATTCATGTTAAGAACAAGAGGGAATTCTCAATAGCCGCGGCTGTTGTTAAATCTCAAATCGGTCAAGAGATGGAGCTATGAGCTAAAAGTTTGTACTTGAATAAAACCTCAGAGCCATTTTATGAGCCGCTGTGCCGCGGCTAATAACATTAAGGTGCATTATCTTTGATTTCTCTGTTTTAGTGCAAAGCTAAAAAATATCCACTACGACAATAGAGCCCCGAACTTTAACGTTATAGCATCTTTAGTTAAAACTAATGAAAGACCTAAATCAAAAAGGACTTCCTTACCTTTTATATGATATGGTGACGTTCTCGTATACGGGAGGATCCTGTAATGTTCTATTTCTATTGAAAATGCACCTAGGTGCCGGTAGAGGGCGCGTTTCCGAACTTCTTTTAAAACTCGATAGCAGCCCACGTTTCCGTAAACCGTAAAGTTCCTGTTCAGTAACCAAAATAATGTACATCTTTGAGAAGGGTCTAATAAAATAATAACAATTCTTTTTAATCTATTTTTAGAAATGTCTAATTTAGTCTTCTAATGTATTTAAGAAGCTAAAAACAAAAGGAAACAAAATCTGTCCTCCCAAACAAACAACTGAAAATATTATTATTGGCTCATTTAAGTGAAAGTACGTATGAAGATTCTGACAAACTTGGTCATTATTAGGATCAAAGTTGAAAAGAAAAAAAATTTTGGGATTAATGTAATCTTTTATAATATTAACACTGAAGAATGGCAGTTTTAAAAAAAAGTCAATTGTATGTTATATAAATTTATCTTTCATGACCTACGTATTTATATAATATGTTAGGTTTATTCTATTTTATCTGTTTCGTGAAAAAATATGTAAGCTTGATAAATCAGTTAATTCTAATGCTGTATTCTATTGAAAATGTATCGAAAAAAAAATCCTGATTTTATGCATTCGTTCTTGGATTACCTAAAAAAAATAACAAACAAACCTTAGCAGTGGTAGAATGGCGTTCCGAACTTGTTCCTTCAGTAGTTGCATCGTTTTCTTCGAGAGGGCGCTCGGAATTCGAGTCCCGTGATCCTGAAAAACTCAGAATATATGTTATGGCAAGTTTTAGCCCGAAACAATTGTCAGTGATAAATAATTAATTATTCTACTTCAGTTTACATCTTAGACTTCCCTGTTACCGACAGTATTAGATGATATTAATATCGGGGTTGTATTGTTTGCATGTAATAATGTTAAGTTAAATGATAAAATACAAAGTTATATATAGGTCACTCGAATTTCTTGGTATTTTATTTTTTTACTATAACCTAGAATCAATGTAGTTTTCACATTTGGAAGACAATAATAATGTTCCTTATAAACAGATATTATTTATACTGTCATTCTACTAATAATAGTTTTAAAATTGAGTATAAAATTATTTAATTATTGTTAGCCTGTTTTATTTCAAAAATACTCGAAAGTTAGTGATTCACATCACTCTGTCTAACTTCTCACCAATGTAATATTCTTCATAGTCATTCAACACGTCCACACCGAACAGTGAGGCCAGGTGGTCAGGACTTCTGAGGTCTAAATAAACTAACAGAATCCCAATCACAAGACACAATATACCTGTAAATATGTATATTCAATCTTTTAGTTTCTAGTCTTCCAACATCCAACGCAAATTCGCGTCTTAAAATGCATAATAAATTAAATGTTTTTTTAGTTTGTTTGTTTTTGTCTTTAGATGTATACGGCAACACGCTTGACGAAACGTCGCTGATTAAAAGGGTTGTTTTCGTTAATATTTAAATATAGATAAAAAAAATCTGCAACAATGAAGCAGGAAATGAATAGTTACTTGTAACAATGTGGAACACCGAATTAATTTAGTTGTTTACAACGTGGAATACAGAACAGTATTGTATACAACAATGAAGTACTAAATCAACACTGTAATGTGTAACAAAGAAACACGAAGTTAACTTATTCGTGTATATAATATTGTTGTGTACACTGTCCAAAACGGAAAGAAAAATAATAGACTTGAAAAAAACTGCAATTAAAGTTATTGAGGCTTCCGTAAAATACATAATTCTGCTCCATTAAGTTGACGGTAAAATATAGAATAGGGAATTATGGCAAACAAAACATAAATTTAAAATACTATTTCAAGATACTTTAAAGTTTGCAGTAGAATAGTTAAGAAGAACTTGGTAAAAACGTATGGTGTTTATCACAAATATTAGGCCTTTTGACTTCATTGTCTTTCCAGTTTTTAGAATTCATTGCCAGAACAGAAATCGCTTATACAGTCCATAAAGTTTTGACAAGTTAACTAGAAGTGGATTAGACATATATCATCAGGTTTAGGTAACGTGTTTGAGCTAATGATGTCAGGTTGGCTTAATGAACCGTTGTAAGAAATTAAAATAACTTTTGCAAACCTGTGATAAAATTCACGCTAGACTGCATATATTTTCCCACTTTCTTCGTGATTAATTCCTTCGAGATTTAAAGCCAGATAAGAGCTATTTAATAGGAACGTAAAAAAAAAAGACTTTTGGGTTATAATGTGAAGTTTACACGAATATTATTAGCACTATTATAATTCCAATGTTTTGATACTTTTTGGCGTCTAACATTAATGAACAAAGCCAGTTTGTGTTTTTATTTTTGTTTTTAATTATGCACAAAGCTACACA